GTTATATTATATTTTTATTAAGTTTAATGTTATATTTAATGTAAATAATACAATCATTCATATAAACTATTGCATAAAAATTTATAAAGTTATAAATTTGAAATATGATTTTTGACATAGAAATTTTTTTTTTTAAGGATGATTATATAAATCACATTTTTTCTATGAGAAATTAAGGGATAAATCAACAAATACAAATGCCAGTATATAATTAGCACATTTCTTAGTGGTTGTTATTTTGAGTAGATATAAGCTGCAAATAAGTAATAGAATTTTGTTATAGTTTGCTGACCTAAATGTTCAAAAAAATATAATATAATATAATGCATTGAAATTTAGAACTCAGAGCTATTTTCTTTAAATATAAAGATAGACAGACCATCTTATCAATTTGGGGATGATATATGCAATAATTAAGATGCTGAAAATGATCGATATCATATATCTATATTTAATACACTCATTAAGAAGTTATTTCACAATTATAATTTTGAATAAGAGATGGAGCATGTAGTGCTGTAAAAATTGGATCGTGGGTCAAGTTTGGGTCCAACCCGAAACTGACACAGTGCTGTTCGACCCTACTCGTACCCGACCCGTTTTTTCAAACGGATTGGTTTTTCGGTCCCGAACCCGACCCGCTTTGGGTATGATTTATTAAAATTTGTTTATTTAATATTCTGACGATTTCGACATCATCCTAAAAAAAAATTCAACTGAAATGATGAAAACGGAGAATCGAAGCAAAATTTTTTATTATTATTATTAAAATTCACCATAACAATAGAAATTCAACTAAAATAATATTGAAATTATTAAAAATCATTTTGCTAACAACTACTTTGATTTTCCAACATAAATTTATTTGTCTAATTCAACATGAGTTATTTTTAATGGAAGAAATAGTTAAAAAATATTGTAACTATGATAAAAAATTAATATAATTTAAATTTAATTATAGTTGTATTAAGTATTATACCCGTAAGTTAAGATATTATAAGTTAATAATATAAACTTTCGATATTTTAAGTTTCTAATAAATAAAAGATTTTAAGAATGTCAAATATATGCATATTTATGTAAAATTTACTTTTTTAAAAAATAAAACATATTTTTATATTCCTCAATTTTAGAGATTGCTAATTTAATCTTTTATTGTAAAATCGCTAAAGCTGAAAATCTAAATACATTGAAATTTCTCTTAAATTTATTTTGCTTGAAATTAAATAAAACATGAAATTATTCATGATAAATTTGGTAATGATATGCTGAAAATTCTCTTAAATTTATCTTCCTCAACTTCGAACAAAACTTAAAATTATCTATGACGCATTTGGAAATAATATCATATCCTGAATTTTCTCTTAGACTTATGTTGTTTGAAGTTGAATAAAAGCTAAATTTTGGAATCCCACATGAGTAAATTTGAGTGAGCTAAGGCAAACAAAATAAAAATATAGAACAGATAAACTCCAACCAATGTAGCAGAGCAGAAAGGGAGTGGGGAAAACCAAAAATAGAACAAAACAACCCAATAGCTCATATTTAAGCTGCAAAGCAGAAATAACCTGCTCTCTTTACCTTTTTACATAATAAATGAGCTCCATGTAGGTGTGTAACCCAGTGTAGTCGAGTCGAGTATTGGTACCATCGTGCTCGGCTCGTCAGTCAGAAAGCCGGCTCGAACTCTGGCTGTAGCTCGAGCTGAAAGGCAAGTTCGAACTCGAGCTCGATCAGCTCGCGAAATACTAATATTTATTCAAATGTAAGTGTTTAAAAAATATAAATAAAAATTCATATTTAAAAAAAGAATTTAATATAATTTATAATTATATTGATTATTTTTAAAATGAGAGAATTTATTTAGTAATTATGGAGAACATATTTTATATCATTAATTGAATTTTAAGAGGTCATTCTAAGTTATTTTCTTACGTTTATTTAAATTTTTTATTCTGTCTATATGAAAATATAATTTACTCGTCAATATCTAAGACAAAAAAAAGCACATATTTCAACATTTTATGTGTTTAAATTTAAAATTCATTTATTCAATGAAATATGAATACAAATAAGGAAAGACTAATCCTTTTTTTTATACTCATCTTAAAATGAATATAATAATTCGCGACGGTTTTGAACAAAAAATTTCTTCGGATTCTCGTTTCTGTTAATCTGTTGCTGAATTCCCTTTTTTTTTTTTAAACGCACACATTGCTCAAAGTATTTCTTCTCCTTTCTGCTTGGTAGATCTTTATTCCTATTAGAACACACATATATTAAATAATATATTTCTATTTACTTGCTTATGAGGTGTAGGCTTAGGATTGGCTCTCTTGTTTCTTGAGCCGTACTAGCCCAGGTCTCTCTGTTTCTTTTTATCTCTTATTCTTGCTCCCACCTTGATCCATTGGTTTCTACATGGTATCAGCATAGGGCTACATTCATGTTCGATGGTAGAGCTCCGTCGGTCACCAAAGATACTAATCCGTTCATCCCTTCAACTTTGAAGATTCTTGTCTCCAATCTCAAAAACATTGTCTCGATCCAACTTGCTCCAAAGAATTACTCAATATGGAAATCTCAAATCCTAAAGATCATTCGTGCAAATGGCTCAAAACTTTCTTGATCTAAACTGCTCGCCTCCATCTCCGTCTTTGATGAATCAAGATGGTTCGTCTTCCCCTATCCCTCTTTCTCACAATGGCTTCTCATAGATCAAAATCTTTCTGCCTCGATCTGTTTGAAAATCTCTCCGCCTGTCTTGCCCTACGCTATTTCTCTTGAAACATGGCTGTCAAATGGACGACCCTAGAAACTAGATTCCTATCCACAAACCGATCAAAAGTCATTCAACTCAAGAATGAACTTCATCATATTTCCCTCAACAACTCGACAATGACTCACTATCTTACCGAAATCAAGTATCTGGTTGACCAATTTGCTTCTATCGGTTCGGTTGTAAACACAGAAGACATAATCATTTACATTCTCAATGGCCTTCCTCCCTCATATCAATCTTTCAAAACTGCCATTAGAACAATGCTCACACCCATTAGCCTTGATCAACTCTATCCACTTCTTCTAAGTGAAGAGGTCAATCTTGCAAAGAAGCAGCTTGATCCAGTCCCGCTCCCGGTCCCAACATCACGCTCTTCACTTACTATGGCAGGGGCCGCATAAATCGCGGAAGAACTTCGTCCAACAACAAAGGTTCATCAAGGCCAACTGCAAACACCTCACTTATAAGCCAAATCTCTCTCAAGAAAGGCCACTCGGCTCAATCTTGCTGGCATCGGCAAAATCTTCAATACACCCCTTCTTCAAGACAAGCCAACACAATGCTTATAGCAAACACAGACAACACTGAATCATTGGTTCTTGGACTCAGAGGCCTCCACGCACCTCACCAATTCCCTCGACAACATGTCGATCTCCAAGCCATATCAAGGATAGGACAACATCACGATCGGCGACGGCAACTCGGTCATCATAGCGAACATAGTGGCGGGAATCCTCCCCGTCCTCATCTCGTAAACTGCGTTTATCTCAAATTTTGCATACTCCTTCCATTCATTTCAATTTACTATCTATATCTCAACTAACCAAGGATAACAATATATCTATTATATTTGATCCATCTGGCTTTGCCTTGAATGACATGACGACGCATAAAGTCATTTTTCGAGGCCCATGTAATGGTGGCCTCTACACCATGCCGACGAGATCATCCCCTCATCAACATCAAGCGCTCGCCGTTTCCACCTCTCCGACCAATTATTACGATCGATCAAGTGGACGACATACTCACGAAATTTTTATCTACACCCCGCTTTCATAAACTACGTCACATACTGACAGTCATATAAGACCCATCAGTTTGTCTGGATGTATTAGAATACAAAGATATTCAATAATATATTTCTATTTACTTGTTTATGAGGTGTAGGCTTAGAATTGGCTATTTTGTTTCTTGAGCCGTACTAGCCCAAGTGACCGGTACATTGCAGTGTATGATATGATGGATAATAAACTCTCTATATTTATCTCTCTCTTATTCTTGCTCCTACCTTGATCCATTGGCTTCTACAATTCCTGTTATAATAAATTTCAATTGATGAGAATAAAAATCAATCATCTCACTGTAAAATCCATCTACCTAATAATTTCCCCTCCATCTATCCTCCTTTCTCCGAGCTTATCAGCAGAAGAACCTCTTTCCATGGCTTCCTCCGGAGCCTCCTTCCTGAATCTAGCATATATGTCTCCCTTGTAAAACTTCCTCGTCCTAACCGCCAATACCAACGAAACAATCGCCCCAATCACCGTCGCCGCTGTAATTATCAGAAACGATAACTGAAAACACTTCACGCCAACGCAAGTCACCTCCTTTCCGCCGCCGCCGCCGCTCTGCCTCTCCGCCTACCTGTCATATAAATATCCCGCCACTCTCACTTTCAGTATATAAGACCCAATCGGGCTTGCCACGCCGCCAAAAGCGTGGAGTAATACTTCAACCCAAACAACTCCGAGATTATCGCAAAGTAGAGGCGATGAGGAGATGGCCGGAGCAAGCCACAGGGAGGACAGTGAGAACTAGAGGTCGCGGGAATTTGTTTTTGGTTAAGAGGATTTCTGAAATAAAAAAAAAAATAATATATATATATATATATATATATATATATATATATATATATATATA